CGACTAGACTAAACGACGACGTTTGGTTCTGAAATCCAAGCTGCTCATCTGAACTAGTGCTGACCCATTCAAACGTAAGGGATGATTGCACCCCGGAGGCAAAATTCTCCATTTAAGAAATTTGCTAGGGAGCCCCTAAGCAATTGCAAAACTGGGGCCTCTGGTGAAAAAGAGCTCACCCCGACGTCCAGGTCATTGGTCCCGTTGTCCACGTGCTCTTAATTAGGCCTGTAAATTGTAATGAGTCTCCTCCCCTTAGGCAAGGATGGGGCATTTCAATATTCTTCTCCTTACTGGGGTGGACGGCAAGGGATTTTCTGGGGCTTCAATTGAGTTCTTGCAGCACTTAAAACTGTGCTTTACAACAACCACAAAAACCCATTTCCCTCTGCAAAATGGCTTGGGTTTTGTGTTCAAAACAGTCGTCCAAAAATGGTTCAAAGTGTGTGGAATTCTCGCGCTCCTTCCTCCATGTTGGAAGATTGCAGCTTGAGCTGAGAAGCTGAAGCCCTGGATGGGGTGTGTGTACCCTTCCACCCTAGAAGTGTACACTTGTCAGTGCAGGAGGACAAAAGCAATGTGTCCCAGCTGGCTTCAAACCAAGGATGAGACGAAAGGAAGAGAAGAAAGGGTGGGTGAGATTTAGACAAAGAGTCATGGAAATGATTCAGAGAGAGAGAGAAAGAGATTTTGTATCTAGGGTTTGGAAAGATTTATGTCCCAAATCCACACCGGCTGTTGACTAAATGGTGTGATATAGTATTATGGAACAATCATTTATATTCCTCCGTCTGCCGACTAGGGATGTAAATCATGACCAGAATTTGGGAATAAGAAGTTAGGTTTCAATGCAAGAAAACATTGGTATCATCAGGACTTCTGTCGTCTCATTTGATAAATCAAGACAATGCAAACATCTTCTCACTGGGAGACGATGTCAGACTCAGAAGCATCGTGTGCATTTCGAGGACTGATTTTTGGTGCACATTTTATGGGATGCACAAAATGGAAAGAAAAATCGGATCACACTTGCTTTCTTGTGTCGTCCAGTGAACATTTGCCTGCTTGTATTCAGTCAGCCTGACCTTTTGTGCTTGCTCTGCGTGGGTGCGTAGGCGTGTGCATTTTGCTTCACAATACAGAAAAAGACATCCGCTTTGTGTAGAGACAGAAATTTGGTTGCATTGACATGAGAATGTCTGTTTTGTGCAGATTGTGGAGATCGCAACAGTAAAAAACACAGTTCGATATTTGGGTGTCTGGTTGGTGCTAATTTTTCTCAACACTTTTGGATGATATTTCAAGTCTCATTTGATGCTAGGATGGAGTTAGTTCTGTTTACAAACTCCGGGTGCGATCAGAGGGAGAAATGGTTTGCATTTTGGACTGCTTGGCTCATTAATACTACAAGGGAGAAGGATCTTGGAATGATTGTAAATCAAAAGCTGAATATGAGCCAAGCGTGTGATGCAGCTGCAAAAAAGGCCAATGCGATGTTAGGCTGCATTAACCAAAATACAGTCTCCCAATCATGGGACGTGTTATTCCCCCTCTATTCAACACTGGCTAGGCCGCTTCTAGAGTTCTGTGTCCAGTTCTGGACACGTAGATCAAAAGCTGAATATGAGCCAAGAGTGTGATGCAGCTGCAAAAAAAGGCCAATGCGATGTTAGGCTGCATTAACCAAAATACAGTCTCCCAATCATGGGACGTGTTATTCCCCCTCTATTCAACACTGGCTAGGCCTCTTCTAGAGTTCTATATCCAGTTCTGGACACCTCACTTGAAGAAGGAGGCCAATAAACTAGTGGGCAACAAGGACGATCAGGGGGTTGGAAACCAAGTAAACAACAAGGCAACCAGGATGATGATCAGGGGACTGGAAACCAAGCCCTGGGAGGAAAGACTGAAAGAACTTGGCCTGTTTAGCCTGGAGAAAAAAAGGCAGAGGGGTGATTAGGATAACACTTTTCAGATACTTCAAGGACTGTCATACAGGGAAGGGTAGGATAACACTTTTCAAATACTTCAAGGACTGTCATACAGGGAAGGGACAGGATCTGTTCTTGATCCTCCCATAGTGCAGGAATGTGATCATGAGCTCAAGCTAGAGGAAGCCAGATTTAGACTGAATGAATATCAGTAAAAAAAATGTCTTAACTAACAGTTAAGTACGACTGAATGAATATCAGTAAAAAAAAATGTCTTAACTAACAGTTAAGTACGACAGTGGAACCCACGACCTTGGGAAGTGGTGAGCGCTCCAACGCTGGAGGCATGGGAGAGAAAGCAGGACAACCCTCTTGTCAGTTTTGCTTTGATTTGTGTTCCTGCCCTGAGCAGGGGGTTGGACTACTGGACAACCCTCTTGTCAGCTCTGCTTTGATTTGGATTCCTGCCCTGAGCAGGGGGTTGGACTTGATGGCCTTTGAGGCCCCTTCCAACTCCCATGATTCTGTGCTTGGGGCACCATTTGGTGCACGGTGGGAGAGGGTTTCCAGCGAGTGCTTGGGGCACCGTCTGGTGCACGGTGGGAGAGGGTTTCCAGCGAAGCAACTTTTTTCAGGAAAACCGCAACGCCCTCCTTGCTCACGTTCTGACTCATGATGAGGTTCCATCCTGTCTCAACCGTAGGCATCCTTCGGAGCTCGCCAGAGACGGCCCCACTGCTCAGAGAGGCTGGCACCGGCAATGGTGGGCACCCTGTGGTCGCCGCATACTTGCCAACCACCACCTGCTGTTGCTTCTGTATATAAGAGGAAAATATTCTTTCTCTCTGGCGCCTGTGTGCTCATGATAGCAGGTCCCGGAGGGACTCGTTTCATAGAGATTGTCCAGCAAAGTGCCAGCTGAGTGAAAAAGCTTTCACTGCATCGCAGGGAAGCAGTGGTGATCTCACGAGAGATCTGGGGTTTGCTTTATTTTACTTCCCTTTTCCTTTTTTCCTTTCAATTTGGATTTTGGAGCTTGGGCTTTCAAGATTTACTTGGTGCATGAACGTTACCGGTATTTGCTTGATCTGCCGCCAAGCCTTTAAAATCAGA